CCTCTCTCTCTCTCTCTCTCTCTCTCTCTCTCTCTCTCTCTCTTCTCTCTCTATCATTTTCAATATATTTAATAAACAACTACACAAATAATTTAAAGACATAAGGGCAATTTATACTATTGAATATATGAAAATGGATAAATTTATAAATGTTGAAATATTTAATATGAGTGCATGAATTTTCTCTTGTTAATTGATAATATTATATCAATAATATTAAAACCAGTGATATAATACTAATACAGTATACTATATTAAAATATTAGAGTATCACTATCCCTATTATGTCTTTTATCTATTTTATTAAAAAACTTTTATTGTGATGTTTAGTTTTGACAGAGAGCAGCTTGAATTTAAATGCCTGTGTGAATTTTCTCTTAATCGAATTGTTATTCGTCGTAAACTATGTTTTTCATCCGTCTATAATAAATTTGCAAGTATTTCAAGTGACAAATAGTGAACGGCGGATATCTCATTTTACAGTAGGGATTATGTCTCGATGATTACGCGGAGTTAGTGCACCACTCTGCTTTAAATTATCGCAATTTAAATTGTATCCACGGACGCAAAATGCAAGCTCAACCCCGTCCATTATGCACGCATGAGAACACTGCCAAGTGTAAGACCGACAAAAAGTTGTAGCTGTCGTTTTCAGGAAGAAGGCGCAATTCGGAATCACCGGTTTAAAATATTAGGTCTGCTGGGAAAGCTGACGTGGGGTAATGAGATTTTTTAAATTTTCATTTAGAAATTATTATGTCTTCTGAACGTGGTAATAAGAATTTGAGAGAACGTTGATGTGAAATGTCGTTAATTCTTCGACTGTACACGGAAAGAATGGTTCTAGACAATAAAAAGTCCAAAATCGAGATATAGTCTTAAAAAAAGTCTTTGAGATGCTTTATATCTCGTTTTTGGACATGCGTGTTATTTGAAGTTTTGCTGAAATATCTAAAAATTTTTAGCTAGATACAGATTTGAAAAATAATTTTGTTAAACCATCCAAATAATTATATATAAGAACACTTAAATGTTGATAATGCTGCAAAGTCTTTTAACATTTTAGCAATTACTTTAAGCTTTTTTATATAGTTGTCTTCATGGTCCAAATAAAATTATTTTCAGATTTACTTATCTAGCTACATTTTTAAATACTTCAGTAAAATTATTCTTTTTGTATATCAATATTATTCGATATTGTATGCAACATTGAGTAAATGTTTTGAGAGTTTCAAGAATAAGGTTGAATAGCCTGCAATAACACAATAAAACAGAAACATGATGATAATTAATCATATAAAAACAGTCTGACAAAGACATTTGAAGAAGTCAAATTGAAATGAAGTAATAATAAAATCTGTCGCCGTGCTTACTCTTATGAATCGATTAGAATATTCATAACCGGCAGTAAGCGAGCGAGCTAGATGCTTCAAAGTAACAGCGATTTTGTATTATCCCACGCAGATTAAATAATCGATTACCAATAAGCGGATTCGCTCAAGGTGTTGTAAATAATTGAATGTTGTGTCTTGTACTCATAAATATCGAATAAATTTTCATTTTTACGGCGTAATTATCGCGATCTTCTTCAGGTATTTTCCTCAGCAATGTTAAAATAGTGGAAAACAACCTTTAAATATATTCGCGAAAATTAGTTATCTCTCGTACGTTTTCCTTTCTCAATTCTAAGTCTATAAAATTACGAGTTAATTAAGTCCTATATTATACGTTATATTTGGTGATTAATCCTTCGGAGATAACGATAGGACTATTAGATCCACTCAATTATATTTTTTATGTTACATTTGCGAATTTTATGCATTCAAACGCATACATCTGTCATCTAACATATTGTAATGCCATTGTTTGCAAGATCTAGCACCTACTGTTAGACACATTTATCATTTTAAGTCTTCGCTAAGCATACATATATACGGGGCATTCTTTGCCAAATCGGCCACCCCCCCTCGCCAAAATTCGGCGCAACGTAGAGAGTTGTATGAGGTCTCATTTTGAAGCTATATTTGTCTAGTTTTTTTTTGGTGAGTGGCCTTTTTGGAAAATTCAAAATGGCGGCTCCAAATCAGCACTGCAAAACACCAAACTCTCGAAAACGAGCGCAAAAAACATTCATAGAGTTTTTTGTGACGGCGAAATATACCGTTTTAGGGTTTGGTTCTTTGTTTTTGGCTGTGCTGATTACGAATCTTGCATCAGAATTTTGAAATTCAAAATGGCGGATCCAATATGGCGAATGGATTTTTAAGAAGTGATTGGATTTGATTGAAATTTGTTACTCGAGGGTATAAGGGAAATCTTTCTGTCTTTGTGACGTAAGCTTGTTGAGATGCGCAGTGGGTTTCCACGGGATGAGCATACCCTTGTCTTTATACCATGACTACGCTTAACAAACATTTTAATGTTCATAAGTTTTTGTTTTGACAGTGATGCGTTTAATCAAAAAATCGCAAGAGAGCATTTGTATCTAAAATTTGACATAGAATATGATTCAACATTTTTGGTACGATAATCTACGACCCCAAAAACCCTCGAGTAACAAATTTCAATCAAATCCAATCACTTCTTAAAAATCCATTCGCCATATTGGATCCGCCATTTTGAATTTCAAAATTCTGATGCAAGATTCGTAATCAGCACAGCCAAAAACAAAGAACCAAACCCTAAAACGGTATATTTCGCCGTCACAAAAAACTCTATGAATGTTTTTTGCGCTCGTTTTCGAGAGTTTGGTGTTTTGCAGTGCTGATTTGGAGCCGCCATTTTGAATTTTCCAAAAAGGTCACTCACCAAAAAAAACTAGACAAATATAGCTTCAAAATGAGACCTCATATAACTCTCTACGTTGCGCCGAATTTTGGCGAGGGGGGGTGGCCGATTTGGCAAAGAATGCCCCTATACATAATTTGCATTTAAATTAAATATAAAGATTTTTATACGGCTTTTTTTTAAGCTTTCATCAATCTTAGTTCTATAAATTCAGTATATTATTTGTTTACATAATCTGACCAGTGATGCAATATTATTTTGTCCACAAGCTATAGAACTTTTGTATTAAGAAAATGTTTGTCAGATGACAGTTTTACAAGTTGAAAAATGTAAATTTTTAATTCTTCCTCGATTTTAGTGTTAAACCTGCTCCCAACTTTCTAATTTTGCGTCTACTTCAATCCTATAAAAGAATTTTTTTTATTTAATTCGGAGATTTTTGTACGGATGTAATGTAGGAATCAATAATTTCATCATTCCAACATTATAAGTATAATATTACAATAAAGGCAGTAAACCACAACGCTTGTTATTGGTAGCGAAAATTTTATATTATTCCAATTTTACAAAATTTCTTAGACGTTTCGGTCTTAAATCAGATTATCCTTAGTAAACATTCATTAAAAATTCCGCATAAAAAGTAAAATAATTTAACTTTA